TCTTTTCTTGTAATCTCAAGCATTAGTCACCTATAACTAAGTGATAATGACATGTTTTTACTAGTTATGAGTTCAATAGACATGAATTGTAGAAAATAGGCATCGTAGTAGCCAAAATGGCCTTACTTGAGCCATTTTGGTTGAAATTGCGTCCCAAAACCTCTTACTTGCTCTTTTCTTGTAATCTCAAGCATTAGTCACCTATAACTAAGTGATAATGACATGTTTTAACTAGTTATGAGTTCAATAGACATGAATTGTAGAAAATAGGCATCATAGTAGCCAAAATGGCCTTACTTGAGCCAGTTTGGTTGAAATTGCGTCCCAAAACCTCTTACTTGCTCTTTTCTTGTAATCTCAAGCATTAGTCACCTATAACTAAGTGATAATGACATGTTTTAACTAGTTATGAGTTCAAAAGACAGGAAATATAGAAAATATGCATACTAGTAGCCAAAATGGCCTTACTTGAGCCATTTTGGTTGAAATTGCGTCCCAAAACCTCTTACTTGCTCTATTCTTGTAATCTCAAGCATTAGTCACCTATAACTAAGTGATAATAACATGTTTTAACTAGTTATGAGTTCAGAAGACATGAATTGTAGAAAATAGGCATCCTAGTAGCCAAAATGGCCTTACTTGAGCCATTTTGGTTGAAATTGCGTCCCAAAACCTCTTACTTTCTCTATTCTTGTAATCTCAAGCATTAGTCACCTATAACTAAGTGATAATGACATGTTTTAACTAGTTATGAGTTCAGAAGACATGAATTGTAGAAAATAGGCATCCTAGTAGCCAAAATGGCCTTACTTGAGCCATTTTGGTTGAAATTGCGTCCCAAAACCTCTTACTTGCTCTTTTCTTGTAATCTCAAGCATTAGTCACCTATAACTAAGTGATAATGACATGTTTTAACTAGTTATGAGTTCAATAGACATGAATTGTAGAAAATAGGCATCATAGTAGCCAAAATGGCCTTACTTGAGCCAGTTTGGTTGAAATTGCGTCCCAAAACCTCTTACTTGCTCTTTTCTTGAAATCTCAAGCATTAGTCACCTATAACTAAGTGATAATGACATGTTTTAACTAGTTATGAGTTCAATAGACAAGAAATATAGAAAATAGGCATCCTAGTAGCCAAAATGGCCTTACTTGAGCCATTTTGGTTGAAATTGCGTCCCAAAACCTCTTACTTGCTCTTTTCTTGTAATCTCAAGCATTATTCACCTATAACTAAGTGATAATGACATGTTTTAATTAGTTATGAGTTCAATAGACATGAATTGTAGAAAATAGGCATCCTAGTAGCCAAAATGGTCTTACTTGAGCCATTTTGGTTGAAATTGCGTCCCAAAACCTCTTACTTGCTCTTTTCTTGTAATATCAAGCATTAGTCACCTATAACTAAGTGATAATGACATGTTTTAACTAGTTATGAGTTCAATAGACATGAATTGTAGAAAATAGGCATCCTAGTAGCCAAAATGGCCTTACTTGAGCCATTTTGGTTGAAATTGCGTCCCAAAACCTCTTACATGCTCTTTTCTTGTAATCTCAAGCATTAGTCACCTATAACTAACCCCAATTATTATTATTTCACTTCTACTAACTCACGTTTTGTGTATTCTAAGTTTTGCAAGGGGCAAACGGGACTTCCATACACGAGCAAGGAACTCCATGTAATTCGGGAGATGTTGGCGACCTACATCACATTTAATTTGTAAATATCGTCATACATTTTTGTAATATATCATCTCTTCATCAATCCTAGCCTTAGCTTATTATTTATGTACTATACATGAAACATTTTTCTAATTTATTATATAATCTCTTGCAATTGTTATTATTAATTATTTATGTTTTGTTATTAATGTTACTAATTATTGTTACTATTATCATATATAATAATAATAATAATTATTATTATTATTATTACTATTATAATATTAATAATTATTATTATTATTAATATAATAATAATAATATTGCAGCCAAAAAAAAAAACAGGTCAATATTAGTGCAGCCAAAAAAAAAATACAACAAAAAACAGGTCAATATTAGTGCAGCCCAAAAAAAAAATAAACAAAACAGGTCATTGGCTTTGGCAACGGTTAACCGTTGCCAACTCACGCAATTGGCAACGGTTAACCGTTGCCAATTACTTTTTTTAAAAAAAAAATGCGGCATTGTCAATGGCAACGGTTAACCGTTGCCAATTGCTTGAGTTGGCAACGGTTTTAAACCGTTGCCAATTATTTTGGGATTTAGCAACCCTCAAATACTCAACGGTTCAAAACCGTTGCCTTTGGGGGGGTTTGAACCGTTGCCAATTTGTTGGTTTCGTGTAGTGGTGGCAGGTGCTGATTGGTCCACGTGGCGGGAAAAAATCCCCTAAACACCACTGATAAAGAGCTAAGAGTTTGAGTACTTTGACTCATCAAATTCATATCAACCATTCTTTTTCACTTTCATATAAAGATATAAACACTAATATAGGTCACATGTACAAAAGTCACAAAATGACAAATAATATACAAAACCTGACAATTAATCTAGCAAAAATGACATCAAACATATGTTAAATGATATTAAACCTTTACGAGAGAGTGAGGGATAGCTCAAGTGGTTAAAGCTTTTCTCCCGATTTCAGAAGATTTTGGGATCAATTCTCACCTCGCCCTTGTGGCTCTCTAAACACCAAAAATAAAATGATAATAAACCTTTATCAATTGACAATAAAGATTTATCAAATGACCGTAAATATATTTAAAATTATAATAAATTTTTATCAATCACACTACATATGTATTATTTCAGCCTTAAATTAAACCCTAAACCTTCTAAACCCAAACCCTTAAACCCAAAACCTTTTTAACCCAAACCCTTAAACCCTTTCAAACCCTAAGTAACTTCTTATAGTAAATTTCAATATATCTTATGAAAATATGAAGGGGTATTATGAAGATATGAATGGTAATTATGATGATATCTTTACAAGGGTAATGAAGACATGCACTTGTAAATTGGCATATAATTATTACGAAATCTTGCCACATGGTGGAAAATAAGTATTGTTAACAAACTTTTCATAATATCATTAAAACCAAATATAATTACAAGAATGAGAACCACATTGTTGCTTAAGGCAATATAAGTAATTTTTTTTTTTTTTTTTGACAAAAGCAAATGATATTAATAAGATCAGGGTTTACAGCATACTAAATCAAACCTAAACCTTACGAAATGGCTTTTAACATTTAAGCCTTTCCAACTTTCGACACTAAAAACAAAGAAACATAACTGGAATTGGCCGAAAAGGTTGCGAAACAAGACCTTTTTATAGGCCAAAGAGCGGATACCTACCTTCAAACACAAAGAGAGCAGAGAGTATCGAAACCGTTTGATCATGGCTAGTTTAACTACACCTAGTGGGATCAACTTATCACTACATAAGGTCTTCAAATCGATCACATGGACATGTGACCTATCATTCCTAAGTTGTTCTTGTTTGTAAAAAAGCTTTAATAACGTCGAGGCTCGTGAAACCCCAAAAAGTTTAGGCGCCTGCTTCGGATAGAAAACATCAAGAGTGATGATCACAATGATCACTCCAATGAAAGGAGCAGAATGACAATCATAGTCATTCCACCATAAAACACACCACACCCTAGCCATGACCAACTTCTCATTCGTCCCCCATACAACGGCAACCCAAGTTACCTCTCTCGACACAACTACACCAAATCCCTTAACAAGGTATCCAGACTCCCTCCTCATACAACCATCCAATAAATTATAGCCAAAACAACCAGAAAACCAGTACAACAACCAAGACAGGCTAAATTAAACCATACATGACTTTAAAAAACAAAGCAGACTCTGAATAGCAATAAAAGCATACATAATTAAAAACGACCAAATAGAGAGCCCCTTTCGGATCTTAACTCCGAAACCAAAAAAACAACGAACCTCAAAACCCTAACCCTAACTTCACCGTTTCCGTCACGAAACACTCTTGACGACGGCGTTAGGCCTAGCCTCCAGCGCAAGGGCCCACGAAACCCTAACCCTAACTTTACCGTTTCCGTCACGGTCAAAATTACCAATGACCTTTATGACGGCGGCGTTAGGCTTAGTCCTTAGACCGCTTGTCTCGCTGGCGAGATCCTTTGACAGTGAAACTTCCACTCCAAGGTGGATAAAAGGGGCTACTCTAACCTTCTAGCCGTAAAAGGGTTACAAACCCCTTCAAGGCCGTACTTAAGAGGACAAAAGAGAAGGAAATGCGCGGCGCTGGGGTTGAAAACGCCCCACAGCAGAACGGAATGGGGAAAAGAGAAGGGAAAAGAGGAGGGAGAGAAGAAGGGGATGACGGCCGGAGCTACACCGCAGCGGCGCCGTAAACTCGGGGACGAAGAAGAAGACAACAGGGGACGAAGGAAGATATAAGGCCGGCGAGGCAAAAGTACGGGCGGCGAAGGTGGATTACAAGGGGAAGAAGGAGGAAACTCACCGGAGAAACGGCTGCGGCGCCGGATCTCCGGTGAGCACCTAGGTTTCCGGCAGGGGACTTGCTTGGAGGAGGAGAGAGAACAAAGCTTTCTGTTTTTAGAGAGAGAACGAATTGTCTTTCAATCAATAGCCTTCTAGTCTTGAGGTTGGGAGTTTAATTCCTAGTAGAGGCACTTTTAAGGCAATATAAGTAACAATTAAGTTTTCTTGAATAACAATCATTATATTGACAATCATAATTTTGCTTATGACAATCAAAATTTTGTTTATGATGATATAAATATTTTAATTACAATGTATTTTACAATGAGAACCATATAATGCTTATGACTTTAGTAGTTTTACAAATGAATAACAGTAATACAATATGACAGTATTGTATTCAAATTGTTGACATTCATAAGGCAATTTACGACAATATAATAAAAACATGATAATATAACAAACTAATTAGACTAATAAGACTAACAAACTAATGACATTATATTTTCAAGTTTAAGGAGAGAGCTGGAATGAGGCAAAGAGAAAAGATTGGCAAAGGAGAGAGAAAAGAGGTAATTTTTTTCCCCTTCAATTACCGTATCCTTTTGTTTTTTCTTTTTTTTATTTATTTTTTATTTTTTATTTTTTATTATTATTATTATCTTGCCTTTTTTGTATTTTATTATTTTGGCTCTGGTCCCACCCGCATCCTGCTTTGTAATGTAGTCTGGGTCCTACACCGTTACTAAATGAGTAAATGACCCCCGTTCCTTTGTTATGTATTATCAAATGGAGTATTACACTCCATTACTACTTTCTCAACTTATGAAGATTTGAAGGGTAATTATGATGACTTCTTTACAAGGGTAATTAAGATATGCTCTTGTAAATGGATTATAACTATGTTGGATTATAATGAGTAATCATATATGGATTTTATAATCATAACTAAGCTAACATAAATTGGCATATATTATTAAGAAATCTTGCCACATAATGGGAAAAAATTATTACTAACAAACTTTTTATGATATCATTAAAACCAAATATAATTACAAGGTTTTTTTTTACAATGAGAACGTGCCGTTTTGTCGCTTAAGGCAATATAAGTAACAATTAATAAAATTTTGCTTATGACAATCAAAATTTTGTTTATGACAATATAAAATATGATAACTACAATGTATTTAACAAGGAGAACCATATAATGCTTATAACTTAAGTAGTTTTACAACTGATTAACAGTATAACACTATGACAATCATATTTTGCTATTGACAGTATTATATTCAGATTGTTGACAGTTATAAGCCTGAAATGATTTTTTGATCGACACGAGTAGTAGCAGCATTGCCATTGAGCAACAGTATCATCGAGAAGCAGCATCGAGGATCAACCAGCAGATCAACAAGGATGTTCAATAGATTGTTGAATCACTACACAAATAAAAAAAGATTTGACAGCTAAGGACAAGATAGGACGTCATCAACCAGAATGTTCAATATATATAGATTCTTGGATCACTCCAAGGAACAATTTGTATAAGGCATATATGACACTCAGAAAAAGGATGGTAGTCAATTTTATAAGCTGGCATATGATAGGTTTTTCCACGAAAGTAACTCTAAACCAAGTATTGAATTACAAATAGAGCCATGAAAGAGCAAGAGAGAGAAAGTGGGCAAGTACTTCACAAAATGGATAACAACTCTTTCCTGGTAGAAAGACTTGCCCTATAAAGACTAACAAGACAATTGGGAAACCCCAAAGTTGGATCAAGCCAATTTGGTATGGGTGAAATTGGGTCTGATTCTAGTCCCTAGGTGTACTCATAAATTTGCCTCCTATGTCAAAATAAAACTAAAAAACCATTTGCCTCACAGGTTTAAGAAAACTAAAAATGAAAGTGTCTCCGTTTGACATCTTTTCGTCATATAATACAATCCTACATCCCTCCATGGATAGGGGCGAAAACACTACGACGGCAGGCAGGGGAGAGGGAAAGGCAGCAACATGTAGTAATACGATTTCTAACCCCCATGACACATAATCCAAACATATAAATTACAGATCGAATGCACAGACACTCACACACGATTAAAGTAATATATAATGCAATCAGGTAATTAGCAACCTAAACCAAGGATCAAGACACATAATATCTGTCAAAACACTCTGCAGTCATGATAGGTTAAGAGAATCATGGTTCTGCATGTTAGGTAAAAGATTTTCAGTCGGTTTCCAAGTCCATGTCTTCACCTTACCACTTTCAGAAGCTCTGCTCGAAACTTTTCAACTCACGAGCCATTGACATGATATTCTTCTCCATAAAAGCTTTCCTATATATAACACGAGCAAATTTACCTAAAATAAATAAGGAACTTGAAATCAGCAAAAGATATGAACAAGGTGTTTCTTTACAAAAGGCTTGAAGGTGATGTTAAAGTTATGTGCTTCTTCCATTAATTATTTGTTTTATTTAGTTTCAACTTTGATTAGCTATTTTAAAGCTAATCAAAATGAGAATGAACTGTGAGGCAGTCTTAATCTCTTAATATGAGGAAAATACCTCTGGGAGATTGGGACTCATGGTATTTGTCGAGCAGAGACACAAGGCGTCTATCCTGTGTATTCTCTTCCAGGGCCTGCAAAAGAGAGCAAAATTAAGAGTTGAATACAACAAAACCTACATTATTTTTATTTAACAAAACCGCTAGCCAAACCTCTACTATTTGCATGACACTGTGATTGACAACCAAATTCAAGAGCAAAGCATTCCGTGGTAAAAAAAGACTTGGGTTGAGACTTAGAGACTTTAAGATTATGCAATTGATAATCCGGAACAGCTTATGTGGTTCACATTTCACATCTCCGGCTTATATATCCTAAAACAAGATGCTCCTACAACACCATTGACCATATCATAATAATACTTCTTAATTTTTTTAAAAACCATATCATGATAGTTTAAGATTATCTCAAATTGATGTGAATCAAGAGGGAAATTCTTTTGAAGAGCCAATCATATTGGTTTTAAGTCCAATAGGATTCAAGCTTGGAGTGAAGAATCAAGAATGGGTAACATGCGCAGCCATTGAAAAGAAGTCAAGGACCAGTTGGGTTCCGACACGGCAGCGGCGGCGACGCGCCGATCTGGGTGCCACGCGCCGGCTCCCTAGCTCCGGCCTGAGTCCAGCTACAAGGCGGTGGGGCGAGTGTCAGTGGTGGCGGCGCGCGTGAGGTGGTGGTTCGGCGGCAATACGAGAAGAAAGATTTTCTTAACTTAGGTTTTTCTAGAGTTTTTGCTTATAAGTTTTTACCTTTCACTTGAAAGGTTTTTTCTTGGTTTAAGCAATTAGGTTTCTTCTTAATTTATGTTATTTTAGTTTAAAATAATTTCTAAGTCAATTAGGAATTGTTTTAAGAAGTTTTAGGTTAATTAGAACTAGTCTTATTACTAGTTTCCTAGTTCCATTAGAATTGGTTTTCCTATTCTATCTAGGATACTTGGGGATCAAGGCTAGGGTTTTATCCTAGTTTTATTAGACATAGAATTCAGTAGCTTAGCCTATAAATAATGTAATTTTCGTTATTTTTCAATAACATTCGAAAATCATTAAAATTCAAGTTTATTGTTTAGCTTAATTGCTTACAATCTCTTTCATTAGTTTTCAATTCAAGGAGTTGTTTTGATAATTAGTTCGGGCAACACTTAGTTCTAGGAGTAGTCTAAGTTTTGTTCTTCAAAATACTTAGTTCCAAGAGTGGTCTAGGTAGTTTGAGAGGCGTTGAATTCGTTCCAGGAGTGGTCGCTTTCAAGGTCATATCCGGTTTGCTATCTTTAAGTTGTTCGATTTCTACAAAGAATTTCGAAGACTTATTTTAATTGTGTGAGTTTGGACTCTTTACTAAGTTAAGGGGTTTAAATCCACATCAAATTGGTATCAGATTTGGGGAGATTTTGATCGTTCCACAACTCGTTCTTACAAGGCGCACTCGTTCTCGGATTTCCGGTTTTCTGTCATCTTCAGAGGGCTCGTTCTCCTTCGTTACGAGGTCTTTTGAGGCGATTCTTTTTTTTATTTTGGGCGAAATTTTGTCTACTTTCTACCTGTAATATTTCAGAATTTTTGGTTGTCGTTTGCTATTAAATTGGACTGTTTTCCGCAACGGTGTCAGTTTGGTCCGAGTTATTGCTTCTTGTTTTTGTGTGTGCGTTTTTATTCGAAGTTGTGCTGTGATCTTTTGTGGGAATTACCTGTGAGGGTAGGGTCCCATTAGGACTGTTTTTATCTTATAATCATGGAGGACGCCTTGAGCAAAATCATGAACGAAATTGCACGTTTACAAGATCAAACGGAGGCGCGTTTTGATGCGTTTTCAAAGCTTTTACTTGATAAAAAGAAAAAGAAAAAAACGTGATGATAGTGATAGTGATGCTTCTAGTTGTGACGATGATAATCATAATAAGAATAAGATTGATGATAAAGGTATCAAGCTTGATGATTTTACGGGTCTAGGAAGCCCCGAAGATTTTCTTGAGTGGGCGAGACAATTAGAGAAAATTTCAGATTATAAGGGTTTTGATGATTCCCAACGTTTCAAGATTGCTTATATTAGACTCACTAAGAATGCGGGAATTTGGTTCGATAATTTGAAAGCACGACGTGCTAGGGAAGGAAAAGAAAAAATCAAGACTTGGACGGTTTTGAAAAGGAAAATGCGTTCTAAATATCTTCCACATGATTTCGAACAAACTCTATATGTGAGACTCACTATGTTGGTACAAGGTACTAAGAGTGTTAATGAATATATTGCTGAATTTGATAAACTAACCTCTCTTTGTGATTTGGATGAAAAAGAACCATTGAGGATTGCTAGGTTCCTTAAAGGTCTAAATCGCACTATTTCTAGGAAGATTGAATTGAGTACATATGAGTCATTCAATGATGTGTGCAAACTAGCTTTAAAGATTGAAAGTCATTGGCTCGAAGATAAGAAGAGCACGAGTACAAAGACTTTTGGTACCAAGTTCTCACAAGGAACCGGAACAAGCAAAACTTTCAAGCCTTTTAAACCGAGTTCCTACGAGTCTAAGGGAGAAAGCTCAACAAGTGGAGAAAAGAATTTTGTTAAGATATCTAAAGAAGAGTTCGAATCCCGAATTAGGTGTTTCAAATGTCAAGGAAAGGGACATAGGTCGGATCAATGTCCTTCCAAGAAAGCTCTCACAATAAGACAATACGAACAACAAGTAGAAGAAGAGAAACACATAGTTTTTGGGTGTGACGATGAGGAATCTGAAACTAAGGCAACAAGTATTGAGGAAGAGAACGATGAGATTGATCCCGAAGATGATGAAAGAGTGCTTGTGGTAAGGAAGATCCTCCATGCCGAAGCAAACCCTAACAAATCTCAACGTGAAAACTTATTCCATACTCGTTGCAAAGTAGGAGATATCTCATGCTAGGTGATCATTGATAGTGGTTCATGTACTAATGTGGTGTCCACAGAGATGGTTACTAAGCTCAACCTTCCAACAAGGGTACATGAGAATCCTTACAATTTGAGTTGGCTTGATGATTCTAAGGGACTTCATGTGAAGAAACAAACCTTAGTAAGCTTTTCCATTGGCAAATACAAAGAAAAGTTATGGTGTGATGTTGTTCCTATGAGTGCTTGTCACCTCCTTTTAGGGAGACCTTGGCAATTTGATCGTCAAGTTACGCAAGATGGTGAGGCAAATACTTATTCGGTCAAAGTAGGAAACAAAAGGTTCAAACTCAATCCTCTACCTCCTAATTCAAGTTACGGTCATGCCAAAGATAAAGAGAAGCAAGTGTCGAATTTCTTTTTGAATGCTAAGGAACTTGAGAGTGAAGTAGAAAAGGGAGCCACGGTCTTTGCCTTAGTGATAAAAGAGGCGAAATCCAAAAGTTCCTCAACAAACATGCACATAGAAGAGTTGCTAGACGAATTTAAGGATGTGTTCCCGGAGGAACTTCCTAAAGGTCTACCTCCTTTGCGTGGAATAGAGCATGCTATTGATCTTATTCCCGGAGCTCCTCTACCTAATAAACCAGCCTATAGGTGCGATCCTACGGCTTCCCAAGAGCTTCAAAGACAAATAGAGGAATTGATTGAAAGAGGCTATGTTCGTGAAAGCATGAGCCCTTGTGCGTTTCCAGCTTTACTAGTTCCAAAGAAAGATGGTACATGGAGAATGTATATTGATTCAAGAGCGGTCAACAACATTACTATCAAGTATCGATTTCCTATGCCAAGACTAGAAGATATGCTTGATGAGTTACATGGTTCTACCATATTTTCCAAGATCGATCTTAGAAGTGGCTACCATCAAATGCGAATTAGAGAAGGAGATGAATGGAAGACTGCTTTCAAAACTAAGCAAGGATTATATGAATGGATGGTCATGCCTTTTGGGCTATGCAATGCGCCAAGTTCATTCATGAGGCTCATGAACGAGGTACTTCGACCCTTCTTAAATAAGTTCATTGTCGTTTACCTTGATGATATATTAGTCTATAGTCGAGATAATATTGAGCATATTGATCATCTTAGAAGATTATTTGAAACCTTAAGAGAACAACAACTATATGGCAAACTTGAAAAGTGCTCATTCATGGTTCCAAGTATTTCTTTTCTTGGTTATATTATTTCGGGAAAGGGTATTGAAGTGGATCCCGAAAAGGTGGCTGCTATTTCTACTTGGGTGGCGCCTAAAAACATTCGTGAAGCACGTAGTTTTCATGGTCTTGCATCGTTCTATAGAAGGTTCATTAGAAACTTTTCTAGTATCATGGCACCTTTCACGGAATTGATGAAGAAAGGGGACTTTGTGTGGACTAATTCGGCGCAACAAGCATTTGAGACAATCAAGGAAAGACTATGCAATACATCGGTTCTAGCTTTGCCTAACTTTGATAAATTGTTTGAGGTTGAATGTGATGCAAGTGGAGCAGGTATAGGTGCAGTTCTAAGGCAAGAAGCACGACCTATCTCTTACTTTAGTGAGAAACTAAGTGGTGCAAAGTTGAACTACTCTAACTAATATCGTGAATTCTATGCCATTGTACGTGCTTTAGATCATTGGTCTCATTACTTAAGACCAAAACCTTTTGTGCTACATTCGGATCATGAAGCTTTGAAGTATATCCATGGACAACAAAATTTGAATTATAGACATGCCAAGTGGGTTGAGTTCCTACAATCTTTTACGTTTTCTTCAAAGTACAAGGAAGGCAAGGCAAATGTGGTTGACGATGCACTATCAAGGAGATCTTATTTGCTAGCCATGGTGGATGCTAGGATCATTGGTTTTGACCAAATACTTGATTTGTATGCAACATGTCCGGATTTGGCAAAAGAGTACAAAGACCCTTCACGCAATTTTGTGCTTCAAGATGGCTTCATATTTCGAGGTAACAAGCTTTGAAGTATATCCATGGACAACAAAAGTTGAATTATAGACATGCCAAGTGGGTTGAGTTCCTACAATCTTTTACGTTTTCTTCAAAGTACAAGGAAGGCAAGGCAAATGTGGTTGACGATGCACTATCAAGGAGATCTTATTTGCTAGCCATGGTGGATGCTAGGATCATTGGTTTTGACCAAATACTTGATTTGTATGCAACATGTCCGGATTTGGCAAAAGAGTACAAAGACCCTTCACGCAACTTTGTGCTTCAAGATGGCTTCATATTTCGAGGTAACAAACTTTGTATTCCTCAATGTGGTGTGCGTGAATTGCTTATTAGAGAAGTGCATAGTGGTGCAATTGCGGGGCACTTTGGTGTTCACAAAATAGTTGATATGCTTAGTGAATATTTCTATTGGCCAAAGATGATCAAGGATGTTCAAAGTGTGATTTCAAGATGTGCTACTTGTCAAAAGGCAAAGAGTTCTTTTTCAAAGGGCTTATATACACCTCTTCCAGTTCCAGATTGTCCTTGGGATAGTGTTAGCATGGACTTCATTGTTGGACTACCACGAACTCAAAGAGGGAAGGATGCTATTATGGTTGTAGTTGATAGATTCTCAAAGATGGCTCATCACTTTGTTCCAATGCACAAGACGGATGATGCGCAACATGTAGCTAATATATACTTCAAGGAAATTGTTCGAGTTCATGGAGTTCCTAGAAGCATAGTTTCGGATAGGGACTCAAAGTTCCTTAGTCACTTTTGGAAGTGTTTGTGGAAGCTACTTGGAACAAAGCTCATGTTTAGTACTTCTCATCATCCTCAAACAGATGGTCAAACTGAGGTAACCAATCGAACCTTAGGTACTTTACTTAGAGGGTTGATTAGTAAGACTCAAAAGGATTGGGATATGAGACTGCCATGCAGAGTTTGCTTATAATCGGTCACCTTCATCAACAACACAACAAGCTCCATTTGAAGTTGTTTATGGTATTAATCCGTTCTTGCCTATTGATTTGCTGCCATTAAACAAAGAGGACATCCATATTGATGCTAAGAAACGGCTTGAAGTTTTTAAGAGGACATGTGAACAAGTTAAATCAAAGATTGAGAAGATGAATAACTTGTACAAAGCAAGGTCAAACAGAAAGCGCAAGCAACCTACATTCAAGCCGGGAGATCTTGTTTGGTTACACTTAAGGAAGGAAAGATTTCCAAGCAAAAGGAAGAACAAGCTCATGCCTAGAGCCGATAGCCCTTTTGAGGTTTTAGAAGCTTATGGTGATAGTGCTTACAAACTTCATTTACCAAGCGAATATGGTAATGTAAGTGCTACTTTCAATGTTGGTGATTTGTCTCCTTACCTAGATGATGTGAATTTGAGGACAAATTCTTTTGAAGAGGGGGAGAATGATGTGAATCAAGAGGGAAATTCTTTTGAAGAACCAATCATATTGGTTTTAAGTCCAATAGGGTTCGAGCTTGGAGTGAAGAATCAAGAATGGGTAACATGCGCAGCCATTGAAGAAGAAGTCAAGGACCAGTTAGGTTCCGACGACAGCAGCGGCGGCGACGCGCCGATCTGGGTGCCACGCGCCGGCTCCCTAGCTCCGGCCTGAGTTCAGCTACAAGGCGGTGGGACGCGTGTCAGTGGTGGCGGCGCGCGTGAGGTGGTGGTTCGGCGGCAATACGAGAAGAAAGATTTTCTTAACTTAGGTTTTTCTAGAGTTTTTGCTTACAAGTTTTTACCCTTCACTTGAAAGGGTTTTTCTTGGTTTAAGCAATTAGGTTTCTTCTTAATTTATGTTATTTTAGTTTAAAATAATTTCTAAGTCAATTAGGAATTGTTTTAAGAAGTTTTAGGTTAATTAGAACTAGTCTTATTACTAGTTTCCTAGTTCCATTAGAATTGGTTTTCCTATTCTATCTAGGATACTTGGGGATCAAGGCTAGGGTTTTATCCTAGTTTTATTAGACATAGAATTCAGTAGCTTAGCCTATAAATAATGTAATTTTCGTGATTCTTCAATAACATTCGAAAATCATTAAAATTCAAGTTTATTGTTTAGCTTAATTGCTTACAATCTCTTTCACTAGTTTTCAATTTAAGGAGTTGTTTTGATAATTAGTTCGGGCAACACTTAGTTCTAGGAGTAGTCTAAGTTTTGTTCTTCAAAATACTTAGTTCCAGGAGTGGTCTAGGTAGTTTGAGAGGCGTTGAATTCGTTCTAGGAGTGGCCGCTTTCAAGGTGATATCCAGTTTGCTATCTTTAAGTTGTTCGATTTCTGCAAAGAATTTCGAAGACTTATTTTAATTGTGTGAGTTTTGACTCTTTACTAGGTTAAGGTGTTTAAATCCACATCACAAATTCTCAATTCTTCAAAGTTTCTAATATACTCCTAATCACAAACCTAAGGGTGTCCAAATACTCCTATAATCATATTACTAAATCCATTATCATCACGCAATGGCTTATAAGAGGTAGACAAAGCACAAGGACATGTCACTATTCCACTTGAATTAATGACAAGAATAATTCAAAGCTAAAAATATACTCGATAATGACTATTGACTCGCTTAGCTCCATTAGCTCACAAAATGCTCCTCTAATCAGCAACTTGTTCTATTGTACTTTAATGCACTAGAGCTTTAGTTACACATACATTAGATTGCCTAACATACATTAGCAGTAATTAAAGCTACACATTAACATGGGTATTAGCAAATACAATTGGACCAATCTTCAATCAAATTCTAACAACCCCAATTCCCAACTTTTTTTATTTTTTTTTGAAGGAGAAAGGTAGCGCAGCCATTTATTAAATTAAATAAAGTTCCGCCAAAGTCGTAATACTCTGGGGAAACGAACCAATACAAACAAGTTCAGAATTGCTACCCATATCCCACCTGGCAACCATGTGTGCAACGGTATTACAAGCCCTCTTAATATGGAAAAAACAAAACTGATCAAAAATAAACTATCAATATAAATGTCATCATAAACCAGAAATAAAGGAGAATAGCCACTGATCCTTCTTCTTACAGATTGCACAACACTGATGGCGTCACATTCCACTACTACCTTGGAGTACCCAAGTCTCCTTGCCACCTGAAGCCCATAACGCACAGCCATAGCTTCTGCTACCTCTGGAGTAGTTGCTGGACACCTTCTAGTCGCACACACAAGAAGACATCCTTCACTATCCCGAATTACCACCCCCAGACCAACCAATACTCCATCAACAACATGTGCATCCGTATTAACTTTGACAGAGCCATCAGGTGGGAAAACCCAAGACGCAAGAGATGCTACTGCCTGGCCATTACCACTAATTACCACCCCAATTCCCAACTAGTTCTAAGCAATCAGTCAAAATTTCACCTAATTACCAATTATCTTATCAAATCAAAAAATAAAAACTTCAATAAAAAATCTCACAAATAAAAAGACATATTACTTTACCTTATACATATACAAGCAGAGAGATGAATTTGAATTAATCAACAGTAAAATTTTCGACTATGCATCCAATAAGCTTGTTGCATTTCATAAACTACAACTATTTTTTTCAAGTTCAACAACGAATCGAAAGACGAATGACAAATTGAAAAAAAAAAAATTTAACACTACAAATTATAAATCAAACACTCGAAGGATTGGCGTTGATTTTTATAAAACCCTAACTGCTAGCGATATTACAGTATAACAATCAAAAATCCTAATTTTTACAATTCAAGAATTAATTTAACCCTTACTTTATTATTAATCCAAAAATTGAAAATCAGAATCATAAACTCACCTTTCGCCACTGTAAGCTTGAAGTCGCAGGCGCCGGCGGGCTTAGGAGAATAATTAACCAATGAGCAGGGAGGAAAGAGTATAGAGGAGAGAGAACAGAGCTGAAAACAAATAAAATTGGGGAAGATGAGCAACGGGAAACACAAAGCCAAACGGGAACGTTTTCCCAAACTAAGCTCTATTTAAACTATTTCCCAAAATGGTTGCTTGGCAAAACTATTTACCAAACTAAGGTTCAGGGAAAAAACGTTGTCTCGGACAGCGTTTTATTCCCTGCTTTTTTTAAAAGAAAATTCAATTTGTAAACACTGTGTATACCTGTTGACTTTATTTTTTTTAAAAGAAAATTCGTAATTTATAGTTTTGAAAAAAAAAATTAAAAATAAAAAAACAAAGACCCTAAAACACTGCCTGAGGCAGCGTTTAACGTTGTTAATGAAACACTGCCTCAGGCAGCGTTTCTTGCGAGTTTATTTTTTTTTTTAACAGCGAGCTTCCTCCTTATTTTACAGCAGCTGCTTCCTTCTCCCTGCATTCCCACACTTGCGCACCCTCACTTAATCTCTCTCTCTCCAAGACCCTTCTTCTTCTCCGTTCAAGCTGCCACCTCCACCGCCGTCTCACTCCGACGACCGGTCGACGGAAGCCCCGAAAACCTAGCCTCACTTCAACCCGAATTTGATATGTACTCAATCTCTCTTTGGTTTTTAAAATTCTAGGGTTTATATGGAATTGTGGTTAAAATCTTGATGATGTTGAATTGTTTGTGTTGATAATGTTGAATTGTTAGTGTTGGTAATGTTGAATTGTTAGTGTTGGTAATGTTGATTTGTCAGTGTTTGTAATTGTTGAATTGTTAGTGTTGGTAATTGTTGAATTGTTAGTGTTGATAATAGTTTGGATAATGTTGAATTGTTAGTGTTGGTAATTGTTGATAATGGTTGATAGTTGTTAGTTTTTGAGTGATTGTGATAACCTACATTATTGTTTATTAATGGTGATTTACTGATACTAAGTTGTTGTAAATTGAAAAGTATGTCTACATTGTTGTTTAATTATGGCGATTTAGGGATGATTTAGTGTCTTTAAGTGTAATGTGTTTTGGTTGTTATGTAGAATATGGCTGCACAAAATGTAGTTTTGTTATGCCGGTGGGGAGGTGAAATTATGTTCGATGGACCCCGTGTCAAGTATAGTGGAGGAAATATGGAACCAGTAACACTTGAACCGAACATGACTTTCAATGATTTAGTGAACGAGGTTCATAGTAGTATAGATTCAAACCCAAGGAATGTTGAACTAAACAATAAAATGAGGTTTGAGACTAGCAATGGGGTTCAAGTGTTACCTGTTTCTACGAATAAACATTTGAAAGCTTTGAGGAGCGTTGTTGCAATGAAGGGTGTTCCCACTGAGATATATGTAGAAATGGTGCCTATATGTACCCAACAAAGTACTCGGGCAAAACAACAATCTACATATATTTCCGGTTACAACACAGAGCCCTTCCAAGTGCCCTCACACAACATTCCATCAACTGAATATGGGATGAGATCTTTCAGTCGAATGCTGTACGACGATCAATTTCACATGCCGTTTAGTTCTCATATAGCTTCACCTGTACATGGGGGGGGCATATGTGGCAATGACCGGCCAACCTGGGCCTTCGACATCAAACAACGTCACCCCTTCACCGATGCAATTTCATAGTTATTCGCCTATGCAAGATGATGTTCAAGCATCGTCGTCTCAACTCATGCCAAATCATCTTGAAACTATTGTGAATAACGAATTGTCTGTGTATGATGTGTATACAAATGATGAGGCCGAGAGCAGAGAGGAGGAAGATGGACTTCAGAACATGGATGGTGAACCTGCACACATGGAAGTTGGCGAGCCCCTGGTTAGAACTCCCATACCTTGGTTCAGTTAGGTAAACGAGAACTATGAAGTTGATCAGTATTGGGGGGCCGAATCGGGTAGCCATACATCGTTTGTTCCCGGGGAGAATTTGAGAAAGGCATGTATTTTGAAAGTAAGAAACTGCTTCAAGAAATGGTGAAGATGTATTCTATACAAAGGAATCAATTCTACACCACAGTGACATCGAATGAGAGTGTTCTTCATTTGCGGTGCAAGAAGAAATGTGGTTGGATGCTACGGGGTACCAAATCAAGTGAGCACTCGCGTGGCTTTACCCTAGTCACGTACAAAGGCTCGCACCGGGAGAACTGTGTCACTGAAATACTATCTACTGATCACCCACACTTGGATTCGTCCATAATATCAGAGTCTGTGAAGTCCTTTGTGCGGAAAGATCCATCCTTAAAAGTTGAATTCATACAGGAACTCATCTCCAAGCAATTTAATTTTGATGTTCCGTATCGAAGAGCGTGGTATGCCAAGGAGAAAGCTATAGCCGAAATATTTGGGGATTGGGAGAGTTCTTATGGCAGACTTCCGCACTTCATGCAAGCACTGAAACAGCCAAACCCAGGAACCGTTGTCGTATGGAAACACAAAGCTCTGGTGGATGGTGTATACTACAACAACATGGAAGTCTTTGAACGAGTGTTTTGGGCCTTCGGTCCTTGTATCGACAGTTTTAAACATTGTATGCCTGTTATCTATATCGATGGGACGCACTTGTACAGGAAGTATAAAGGAACACTGTTGGTTGCTACAAGTTTGGATGCAAGCTTCCAAGTATTTCCTCTAGCATTTGCGGTGGTTAAAGGCGAAAACACTTCCAGTTGGTCTTGGTTCCTGGGCTGCCTTCGGGTTCATGTCATGCAACGAGATGGCCTCTATGTTATATCTGATCGACATCCTGGGATCATTGCAGCAATGAATGATCCTAACGTTGGATTCACCGAGCCACGAGCCTATCATAGGTTTTGTGTTTGCCACATAGCTTCTAACTTGAAGACTCACGTGCGAAGCAACAAAATGAGAGATATGTTCAAGGCTGCGGCGTACCAAAGGTAGGAAAGAAAACTTCAAGCTGATTTGTGTTTCATCGGTGAGGCTTGTACCAAGGCCATGGAGTACATTGTTCAAGTCCCGTTCACTATGTGGTCTCTCTTTCACGACGCTGGTCGCAGATATGGGATATGTATTACAAACTTCTCTGAAACATTTAACAATGTGTTGAAGGGAGCTCGGTTTCTACCGATCATGTCCCTTATCGAGTTAACTTTCCACAGAGTTAACAAGTATTTCACTTTGAGAAGGGAGTCTTCTGAGGCAAGGTCTGACCAGGGACTTGCATACCCCCCTAAGGTCACTACCATTCTGGAGAAGAACACCGCAAAAGCCAGATATCACAGAGTGAATGCGTATAACCGCCGATTGCATATTTACCAAGTTACAACAGAAGGGGGAGAGCGACTTGGTAGTAAAGGAGGCCATAAAATACTGTGAAATTTCAGTTGAGAACGTGTGCATGCAACAAACCAAAGATATTCCACCTCCCATGTTCTCATGTTCTAACAGTCTGTGCGACGTATTCACTATCAGAGCGGCCGTGGGTGGACCCTGAGCTGCAATAGGAGGCCTACACGAACACCTATGCACCACAATTCTGGCCTATCCCCTGTGAGACAACCTGGACGCAGTACGTCGGCCCTAAACTCATTTCGGACGGCAGCATGGTACGTGGAAAAGGGCGGCCAAGGTCAAAGCGCATATGCAATGAAATGGATGAGACTAACCGGCCCGCGAGCAAATGCAACCACTATCACCAGCAGGGTCACAACCAGACAACGTGTCCATCTAGAACGACATAGGACCTAAGATTGTATTTGTTATTTGTTGAAGTAGTAGAAAGTAGAATTATTTTGTATCAGATTTTCTAGAGTTTGTAACATTTGTAACATTTGGATAATTTCTATTTTCTACTTTGGATGTCGTTTGAAATTTTCCGCCTCGCCCAGCTTATGTTTAATTGCTAATCCGATAATTGTGTTGGTATTTGGTGTATAACATTTTCAATGAACAGATATCATGGACAGGGAAGATAGGACGCCCGGACCCGTTGACCCTTCTGTGCTGACACTATAGGACACACATCGGAGCGGTGCCATATGGGACTAGACGGTAATATTTCATCCGTTCGTTCATGTACTTATGCATGTTAAATTGATATAATATTTGATATTAATTACGTTCGTATGATTTTTTATCAGGCTGATCCAGCGAAGCAGCTAGTTTGAAGGCACTATACTACCAGGTTTACGGGGGAATGGGTTCTCGATCCACGCGTTATTGCGTGCGTCGAGTTGGTAGGCTTGGGTGGTTTTCATCAGATGGCGTTTAGGGAGATTGATCGAGGGCTTGTCACTACGGTCGCGGAGAGGTGGAGACAGGAGACACACTCCTTCCACCCACATGTTGGGGAGGCGACCGTTACGTTGCGAGACGTCGCGATACTCACGCGCCTCCCTATACATGGGACTGCGGTGATAGGACATGCGTTAGTCGATCCCATTGGTTTGGTAGCTCGGGTTCTCGGGGTTCAGCCAGGTCCGAACGAGATCAAGGGGTCCGGGTTGAGGACCGGCTGGGTACGCGAGACTTTTCGTGAGTTGCCTCCGGGCGCTGATGACGCCACGGTTCAGAGATACGCTCGAGCGTACTTGTTCTTTCTCATCTCGGGCTCCTTGTTCGGCAACAAGAGCGGGAGGAATCTACAGCTCATTTACCTACAGTTGTTAGACCACGACTGGGATCATATCCGTGGCTACAACTGCGTAGTGCGGCTAGTGCCTATTTGGCGTCATTGTATCGCCAGCTGTGTAGAGCATCCCACCGCAGTTCTAACGAGATCAGAGGTCCCTTGATTGTGCTTCAGGTAACTCACCTAATTACCAACAACCTATTTCAAAAGCCACTTACCTAGTTTATACTAAACCTAGCTTTGTATTTGTGTTGTAGTTTTGGGCTTGGGAGTATATCCATGTAGGCAGACCATGTAGGCCTGCTAGACATCGTCAGAGGGAGCAGGACCGGGACGACCAGTACCAGGCGTACGATGCTCCACCGCTCCTTACACCTGATGAAGCGTACGGGTGCAGGTTTGTTACAGTTGTCATTACTTTAGACTTCATATGGTTTTATTGTGCTAGTTGACAAACTGAAACATTTTTCGGTATTAGGTGGGTGGTCCCCAGACTGACACAGGCGTATGTGGCGAGGGGTCTTCCGTACTACCGAGACACCCGAGACCGACTCAGGGAGGATCAGGTAGTAACTTATAAGGAATTTTTAGCCAGTAATTTAATATGATTCTTGTCAGTTCACTAACCTATTTACGGTATTACTTTTGATGTGTTTTTGCAGGTGACATGGGATCCGTATGTAGCTGAGTTGGTTGATGACATGCCTGCACATCTGCTGGATCATAGGCAGAGTGGCGTGCCAGGACCCCCGTCATCTGTTTTGAGGTTATGGAGAGTCACCTCCCCGACCGAGTCATGCGACAGTTTGGACTACGCCAGCCCGTCCCCCAGCAGTGTGACACTAGTATCCGCCTGCACGACGTTGACCGTCGGGGAAAGGGGGAGACAGACTGGTCAGTGGAGCACAAGGTTTACACTGGCCTATGGCAGCGACGGTTGGAGTTCGTTGTTGAAGGTGATCCGATGCAGGGCGTTATGGATCCTCACGATCCGTACATGGTCTGGTACAGGCGGATTACACGGCGTTTCATCAACCCCAGCTACACACCACCTTCCACACATTACCAGCCAGCATATGACGTCATTAACGGATATGTGAGTTTCTTTTATTCTACTTATTTTCATCAGTTTTTTAATTTCTATATCATACAACTGACTGATCGATGATTACTGCAGGCGGCGGATATGGTGGCGATGGTTGATGCACTGTCAATCGCCCTTGCAGACGGACCCACCAGACCCCAAGTCGAGCGAGGTGCGAGATATGGGCGTGGCTACCTTACACAAATATGGTCACGGCTATCTCGTCCACCAACCGGACGACCATGATGGCCCCTCCGTCCATTCACAGCTCGAGCTCAGCCAGAGTAGCTGTGTAGGTGATCCTATGTCACCTAGAGACGCAGAGGATTACATCATCCACAGTTCTGCGCCCACCCCCACCCAGGAGGGCCCATCATCCAGCCAGCAGAGACTCCCCCACCGCCCCAAGACCCATTCACCACCATTACTCATTACATGCGGCGTAATGTCAGACGGAGGGCCGATAGACAGGATAGCGAACAGTTACCCCGAATAAATGAGTCTGGATAGTATTAGCTGATTTATTTATTGTAGCTGGATTTTCTAGAATGTTGTATATAACACTTACATTATTAATATAATAAATGTTTTTTACATGAATCTGTGTGGTTTGAAGTTTAATTTCCTTATTTTTCCAAACCGGACTTATGTCAGTCAAAATAGATCCTTCTAGGCCGATATATATCAAACACAAGACATTTGGGCTCCATAATGAGAAACGGGGTAGAAGCGATGGCCGGTCGTGGTTAATGTGGTGGTTCACGGTGGTTATAGTGTTGTTGGGGGTGGTTTGAGTGGTTTGAAGTGGCTAAGGGTGGGCAAAAGCGGTGGTTGGTGGTGGTGGTGGTCGATGGTGGGGAGGTTGTCAGGGTTCGTGAATGGCGGTGGGGATGATGGTTGAGGTTGGGGTTGGTGGTGGGGATGGTGGAGGGTGGTGGCTGAATGACTGTTGGAGGGTGGGAGGCTGAAAATGTGAGGAGACTGCTGGTTACTGTGTGTTGCAGCCAGCAGATAAAACGCTGTCTCGGACAGCGTTTTATATGAAAAAAAAAATTGCACATAAAATGCTGTCCCAGGCGGCGTTTTATGTTCAACAAATAAACGCTGCCTGGGACAACGTTTTATGTGCAAAGAGCACATAAAACGCTGTCCCAGGCAGCGTTTTATTTTAAAGAAATAAACGCTAGTCCAAAACCGGACCGGACCTGGACCGGGGACCTGAATTGGGTAATTATGAGGACCGGGGACCGGACCTGAATTAACAGGTCCGGTTCCGAGCCAGACCTGAAAAATCAGGTCCGGTCCGGGTTTGGACCTGAATGGACCTGTTTTGTGATTTTTTTCGTTTTTTTTTTTTTAATAAAAAACCTGTTGGACCTGCATATGGACCTGTTTTGTGATTTTTAGACCTGTTGCATAATTTAATAATTACATACAAACCAAAATTATCAATCACAAAACTACATAAAGTCTATAAAGTCCCAATTCCCAAACACCAAAAATACAAATGAGTCCACCGAAAATACAAATGAGTCCACGAAAACTCATAACATTATATAAATTCTCTTAAGTCTCAAGTACTAGAAAAACATAAATTCTCCAACGAGTTATTTTCCCTTTGATCGCGTGATTCACACTAATGAGTCCACGAAAACAACTTCATCGTCTACATCGTTAGATTCACCACATTGCACCTCTAAATAAAAAACAATATAGAATATATTAGAATATATTAATGATTGATAACAATGAAATAATAAATTTGGTGAAACAAAATTTCAAGTACATCAAATTATTACTACCTTTCTCTATTTCCTCTAACTCTTTCAAATTTTCTTCCACATCAACAATTGGCACTTCCTTAGCTCTAAGCCAATCTTGTGTGCAAAGTAGCGCTTGAACCATCTTCAATACAAAAATATTACACAAATATGTATAAACGAAGTCATATTAAGATATAAACAAACTTGATTTTATAAAATAAAAAGGTAACGATGCATTACCTTAGGAGTTAAAGAACTCCGAAATGGATTTAGAGTACGACCTCCCGTACTAAAAGCAGATTCCGATGCAACGGTCGACAATGGGATGGCTAGTATGTCACGTGCCATGCGATTAAGAATCACATAACGCTGACCATTCTTACCCCACCATGTCAATGCATCTTGTTCTTCCTCCTCTGGCCCTAATTGATCATTTAAGTACCTATCTAACTCACTTATCGCATACCCACTTGTCCCCTTCAATCGTTTTGCTCTTTCTTTTAGTTTCTTCACATAATCGGAACCCACTCCTTTACTATTATCAACATCCATTGACATACTATCTCCACAATCTGGAATATTAGAAGTAGCATACATTTTTCTATATTCCTCAAATAAAGAGTAAGCAAACTCCTTCACATCATTAGCAAGTTTCATACCCTTTTCCGATCCATGCATATCTGTTAGTGTCAATTCAACAATGACCATCTTAGAGTGAGGGTCGAGAAGAAGAGCACCATAAATGAACTTATTCATCTTATCCACATCCCCCCAATACTTATCAAACTTTTTTTTCATTGCAATGGCCATAGCTTGAAAATTCAAGTCCCCACTTTGTTCCCAATTATTCAACATATCATACATAGAAGCAATTTCTCCTAAACCTTTATTAGCTGTC